GTCGTCACTTCTGAGCCAATTATGTATGAAGACCAGAGCGGCGTGATTAATGTAGTCATATAAATAACAATTGATATATATATTATTGGTTGGGTTTTTCACAGTTAATCAACATACATAATGTACATTAATATACATTAATGTAGATTATGTACATTATATACAATGAATGTACATTATGTATTTGCATTCTGCCGTTTTTGGGGCCCAAAAATCGCAATACTGTACCTATTATTGGCTGTCCACAGTTAATCACCATCAACGTATGGTGACCTGGAGAGGCATGCAATTAGTGAGTGTAATACTTGATAATACGCTTCCAAGCAGAACTAAGCCTGTGGCTATCAGAACGGTTAGAATTATTTTTTATTTCTCTCAATTTCAATAGATTCTATAATTAGTCTTGACCAGTCACTAGTGTTGCACGAAACGTCAATATTATCAAAATCAATTGAGTCCCCTTGTTGGCAGACCTGTTCCGCAACTGCCGACAGTTGTGTTTGGGAGTATTTTACCATACAGGTCACCATACGTCGATGGCCATTAATTGTGAGCAGCCAATAATAGGGATGCGATTTTTGGGGCACAAAAACTGTGAATAACCCAACCAATAAATAATATATATCCATTATAATTTATATTACTACATTAACTCCGCCCCTCTGGTCTTCGCACCTGATTGGCTCAGAAGTGACATCACATTTACTCTCCTATTTAAGACTATAATTCTGGCTGTCACCTGATGTGGCTGGTTGTAATATCCAGTAAAATGTTGGACTGGAATTGTACATTTTGTGGGTTTACTCTTCAACTCACCGGTGTGCTCAACTAGTAACTGCCATGTTTTGTTTGTGACAAACCTTACTAGTTGGCTGTCGGATGGTGGTGGGTTTAACGACGCATTTATATTCTTGGTTCTTTCAGTAAAGTCACGTAGAAGGGAAATAATAAATTAAATTTGCTCCCTTCTACGTGACTTTACCGAAAGAACCAAGAACATGAATCCCTGCAGTCACGAAAGCTTTAAACCCAAAAAAACCTCTGTTATGACCAAATATTTGATTTTACTGTTTCATAAAAAAAATATATATCCAACGCAATTTCATAGGACATTGTAACTGTGTATATAGTGTGGATAGTTCAATTGGTAAAGCAGCAGGCTTCCATTCAATAAGGACATTGGAGCAGGGGCCAAAAATGGCCTGCCCAGTCCATCGCTCCTCTGGTGTTGGTAAAATTAGTAGTGTCACTTGGAGAGTAAACGTGCTGCATAAATTGCGTACTGTCAAAAAAAGCGGAACCCAGAACAGAACATTAACATCCATTAACACAGGGCCAGAAATGGAAATGAACACTAGCCAGTGCGGTGGTGAAGCATGTTGTAGCCCTTGGACAATTCTACTGGTCATTTGTGAAACTACTCGACATCCGTGAAAATGAGCTTTATAAGCTCATCGGATTTCTCCATTATATTCAGATTTACACCAAACATTTGAACAATTATCATTCTAAAATCCAACACTCGCTAGTGCATTCAGTAAATAAATTATTTGAGACTTAATGTTCGGTGAATCTTAAAAAAAAAATCCAGCTATTTTATGCGCGAAAGCTTTCGGAATTCATAAATAAGCCAAACATTCCAGTGCACATTAAATACAATGTGTAACCATTTTTTTGTTCCTGGGTAATAAGTGTTCTTTCCCAATTGCTTATGCTTCAAAAGTACAGAAAATGGCTATTATTCCCCACAAACTTTGTTTTGTGACCAGGGCAGTGATATTTTGAAAATGACCTATTTTCCAGAACATTCCAGATAGATTCAGTGCTGAGTAAACTTGGAGTGACGTCTAGAACATTCTATAATTTTCCAGTAATATAAATAGTATTATAAATACAGGGGCCTTAAGCCCACCAGTTCAGTTTAGTTCTAGCTGCCTAAGTGGATACATATCTGCATTTTTCTGAGATGGCATCAAGAGGCTGCAAGCATCCGGCAGACGCATTTTGCTATGTGTGTGGCCAATTTATCAAGACACGAGCGAAAAAGTACTCTGTGGAAGCATCTGCTAAGATGTGTGAGGCCTACAAGGCATATTTCGGCATGCCTGTGGGGGATCAAGACAAATCCTGGGTACCTCATTTCACCTGCGAGCAATTAAAAAAAAACTCTGGAAGGTAAGATGGACAATTGTTGCTTGGAATTTTGTTATAAAATTTGTCAAAATGTTAAAAATTGTAAAAGTTTTTAATTTTTACAATTTTCATTATTATTGAAAAAATAAATCACATATGAAAAATGTTGCGAGAATCTCTTACAGATTAGTCATGGGTGAAATAAATGTATTTTTGTAGGATGGTACAGAGGGGAAAAGAGAGCCATGAAGTTCACTTTCCCAAGAATTTGGCGGAAACCCACTGAACACTCAAGCAACTGCTACTTCTGCATGGTGGACCCTTCCTAACGTCGGGCTGGCAAGAATGCACCTGCTATCACGTATCTGGACTGTCCTTCATCCATCGCCCCGGTGCCACACTGCCATGAGCTCCCCGTACCCACTCCTCCAGAGAGAGAGCAGCCATCTTTAAAGACAGCAGCAAGTCAGAAAGCGAGGAAGACGTAGATCCAAATGACAATTTCAGAGGTGGAGCTGAGGAGAGAAACCCATACTACCCCAACCAAAAATACCTCATCGACTTGATCAGAGATCTCGGTCTCACCAAGTCCAATGCCGAGCTATTGACGTCGAGGCTCAAGCAGTGAAACTTCTTGGATAACAGTGTGCAAGTCGCAGATCAGAGGAAGCGTCACCAACCTTTTTGCAGCTTCTTCACCTGTCAAGATTGGCTCTGCTTCTGCCACAATGTGACCAGTCTGTTCAAGGCAATCGGAATTGCTTGTGACCAGAATGAGTGGCACCTCTTCATTGATAGCTCATCCAGGAGCCTCCAAGCTGTGCAGCTCCAAGTTCCCTTCTCTTCCTCTGGCTCACTCGGTGTACCTCAAAGAGGATTGCAACAGTATCAAGACCTTGCTGGACGCCTTGAAGTATGATGAGGACGGCTGGGAGGTCATCGGAGAATTTAAAATGGTGGCATTGCTGATGGGTCTCCAAGGCGGTTTTACCAAGTTTCCCTGCTATACCCTTTGGGACAGCAGGGACACCAAGGTGCACTACCACAGGCGGGACTGGCCACAGCAGACCGAGTTCTCTGTGGGGAGGAACAACGTCAAGTGGGAGCCACTGGTGGACCCCTGGAAGGTGCTGATGCCACTACTGCACATCAAATAGGGCCTTATGAAACAATTTGTCAGAGCTGTAGATAAGGATTCGGGAGCCTTCAAGTACATTCAAGACTTCTTCCCTAAGCTGTCTTGAGGCAAAGGTCAAAGCCGGTGTCTTTGTCAGACCACAGTTAAAGATCCTGGAGTGCAATGAATTCTCCAAGTTCACTAGTGAGGAGAAAGCAGCTTGGGACAGCTTTGTCGCAGTGGTTCGTGGCTTCCTGGGCAATCACAAGGTCAAAAACTGTGGAGCTGGTTGATACTCTGGTGAAGAACTATGGCACAATGGGCTGTAGGATGTCCCTCAAAGTCCATATCCTTGATGCTCATCTTGATAATTCAAGGAGAACATGGGAGCGTACTCGGAGGAGCAAGGCGAGCGCTTCCACCAGGATATACTGGACTTTGAACGCCGCTACCAAGGACAGTATAACGAGAACATGATGGGAGACTACATTTGGGGGCTGATTCGTGAAAGTGATTTACAGTATAATCGTAATTTTTTTTAAAAAACTACGCACTACTAAATCTTTTGAAGTATTTTTTGTATTACTTCAGTATAAATACATGTAAATTTTGATTAATGTAGTTTTTTTCTTACTTTTTGTCAATGAAAAGACATATTTGCCCGTTTTCTCATTGAAAAGAGGTACATTTCTAAATATCACTGTCCTGGTCACAAAAGCAAAGTTTGTGGGGAATAATAGCCATTTTCTGTACTTTTTAGGCATAAGCAATTATGAAATAACTTACTACCCAGGAACAAAAATTGTTATATTGTGTTATAATTTATAATGTACGTTTGTAGACAAAATGCCGTGTACGGTGCTAAAGACTCATGAATATACTGTACTGTGGATTGTATTAAGTCATGTATCAAATACCTTGGAAAATGCACGTCGAAATTACAACAAGAAATAGGCTTGAAAAAAACAGATTGTTTTCTACATTATTTGGTAAATATTTAATGTAGATTTAGTTTCATTGAGGACTTTTTCAACCAACTCACCTCATGCAAAATATTTGATATAAAAAAAAACATTGTTATTTCGTTTAACTGTAGCCTGTTTTTCATTTTGCAAGTTCAACGAAGCAGCAACTGCACGCATATCTTTTATAGCAGCAAGTCACTGCTTGCGTTGTCTTCACAAACTGTAATTACTGTGGTCATTGGAATTTTCCTATTGAAGCTCATCAATGTACAGAAATCAAGTTTGTGCATATACAAAAAGCACATTTCTGTCATATGCAGAATTGAAGTGCTGACCTTAAGACGATAGGGGACATATATCACAACCTTCCCTATTTCTGCGTTGTCACCCAGAATGACGCGTTCAAGGCTGGTGACAAGGACCGTGCATTATTCAAGTGGACACAAAAACGGGTCATCTGAGGGTGTTTGAATATATTTTTGGGTTCAGCAACCACCAATACGGTAACGGTCAAATGAGTGCATCAGGCAGAAAAAAGGTGAGCAATGTAAATTAGCTGCCAGATCGCTATCATACATTTTTCATGCACAATCAGTTGGACGTGAGAAAAAATCCTGCATGTTCGCGCTTGCGAACATGCAGGATTGTTGATTGTCTTGATTGGTATCGCCAATCAAGACATCTTAATGATGATCTATTGCATTTGATCTATTCATTACATTTTAAAAAACAAAGAAATCAGTGGTTATCGAATAAAGGTGACATAAAAACAAAGGGCAATTACAAACACTGATTCATATACTTTATTTAGCTAAACAGATGACACGTATTTCACAAGCACACACTACATTTCTACAGCATACAGTAGCTCGCAAATTGACAATTAAAACATGTCAACTATAAACATAAATTTATGGAATTCACATGCACCAGTGTATCATTATATATTGTAACCCAAAAATTATTACTGTGAAGTATAGTGACACTAATAGTACACCATCAACATTGTCACCATAATTTACAACTATTTCCGCAGTGCCAAGTAAATTAAGATGGCTTATAATTAACTGCAAATAGTGCGCCATATAATACGTGATGTTGTTGCACGCATATTTTGTTTATAACAAGAAGCAGTAGTCATTAACAGTAGCAGTGCATACAAAAGGCACAACATTTTACGGCACAACAGGAATTGGGCAATATCCAAACTACTGAATGTTCCAATTTAAAAGTACTTTCTATGCATAAAACACAAATGCCATATACGAATGTGCAACATGTTGCTGAGGAAGAAAAAAACACCACACGAGTTCTTCCTTTAAATTTCATTAAAATAATTCACATTAAACGACTCATTCAATCAGTTAGGATACAAATGATAGGGTTATTAAATGCTCAACATACATTTAATTCAATTGGGAGAACATATTTGAACAGAAATATGTACCGGTTAAGTTCTATATATTATATTGTTTTAAATTCATTTCAGAAAGGCATTTTAACAATATATACAAGCTTCATTTAAACGGCATTATTGTTCATAAAGTATCCGGGGCAAAACAGGAACAAATGTGTATTTCATCAGAAAAATGGCCAATTTCATCATTTAAAAACATACTGTGCGGTACTTGCAAAAAAAAGTAGAAAAATCCAAATAAAAAATACTTTTTTCCACATTTTACAGTACTAATCTTATCTCAAGGTTTCACTTTAATTAATGAGAGAAACATGTCACTCAGCTTTCAAACCCATTATTAAAATGACTGTTTTCTGATTACACGATTTGTTTATTTAAAGAAAAAAATCGTGGAGCAGACCCGAGTTAAGTTTGGTCAAAAAAAAGTTGGTGACAAAGAACAATGAAAGTATATTATCCACATTAAGAGTGACACTCACGTACCCAGGGAATAAGCGATTGAGGAATTGTGTTACATCGATTTTGACAATGATGGCTCATATGCTTGATAACCGCCTATTAATTGTAATTAAGCCAGCTCGTTATATTTAATGTAGTTCAAGGTCTGGTTCTCAAAGAACAATTGTACAATTCAAGAAATAAACAAGCACATGTTCGTGTAATGCACAGGTTTAAATGATTACATCACTATAAGCAGCCTCAGTTTCATTTTTGCTTTCCCATGCTTCAACACGAGTGCCTCGATTTATTATTTATTTTAGTTTTATCTTGCATTTCCAGCTTCATAATACGGTACATAATTACTTCATTGCAATTGCTTATAAATAAAACATGTCCAGTGACAGTGTCGAATTACACTATCTTTGTGGATGCGGAACTTATTTTTATTCATCAGTCCGTTTTCTATTTGTAAAATTTTGTCATTGATCAACGCCCAAATAAAAGTATCGCCATTGCATGCCTCATTCCATATTGGGAGTATACATTATATACTTTAAAATCTGATCAAGAATTAACAGACGTTCAGATCTAGGCCTGCGGTCTGAATATATTTACAGGATACACGAGGATTTTGGCCGACTGGACACTGGAATATCAAGTCATAGCCAAAATGTTTTAAGTTTAAAAATTACTCAAGTCATGAATTAATTTGTTAACAAATGTGACCATGTAATTAAAGCTTGAGGCAGTAATTTATATGGAAGCAGTAATTTATATGGAAAGTCAGCGACATGCACTTACAATTAATTACCCAGCGTATATATTGGCCGACTACTTTTTTTGTGTAACAGTTTTGCATTTAGTTTACTAGGACACGATTTTTTTTCAACTCAATTTTTTTTCCAATTTTTGTGCAATGTCTGCTCTTTAGAAGATAACAGAGAAAACAATTTGCCAATGGGATATTCTGACCAAAAACATCAATTAACTCCAGATTTATTCTGAAGCACCATATGGTGTGACAGTATGTTACAAAATAAACTGCAGTAACCGATTCTCAAACGCTTCTTGATGGCTCCTCACACACTTACTCACGAGAATGATTCTTCAGACACCCACAAACGTTGCCTACATAACCACCGTTCAGCACACTGGCAAACCAACAATCGATTTGCATAATTTACCGTACTTTTCAATGGTTATATGCCACGTTCAGGAATGGCAGTTTCTGACAAAACTCTTCTTGTGGTACAACCTGTGCACAGTAACGTACTACAATGTAGACCTAATTTACACGTAATAATCGGCACTTAAATGAATAATGAACTGCAAAATGTGCAAATATCTTTTTCCCTTCGACAGATGCTGAGGGTCATGATTTACCTTTTGAATAACACTGCACATATAACCCATGGAACGCTATTGCTACGAGCGATGCTAGCGTACTACATTGCACAAACAAAAGCCTTGTGTCACGACTTACCACTTATATCAAGTGGATCCACACGTGTGCATGAATAAACTTTTTTTTACATTCACAAAATAGTAAGCAAAAATAAGCAGAAAAATTCAGTGTTGCATGCTTGATTATTTTCACACAAGTACATTTTTACACAAGTGATCGCTTGGCTATGTCATGTACGGTACAATTAGATGTACATTTGAAATTGTACTGTACATTTTTGGCTTACAGAAACGACCATTTCAAGATGTGTACGGTACTTTAGTATTTAAGTGCTCTTCCATAACGACTGCGATGTTGTTAGCGGTGAAAGGTTGAGCACACGTTTTGTTTTCACGAAAAGAAAAGTGAATATTTAGGCGTGCACAGCTTCAGCAACACCAAAATCTGAAAATAAATCATGCTTCACATTTCTAAGTTATTTATTGCCTGTTAAAAATGTTTTTTTAAAGCAATTTGTGATGCATCTTAATAATATAAATAAGCAGCAGCAACCCCATGTGTTGTAACACACAAGTTTAAATATTTCATTCACATGAAAAATAGGTATTACTTTATTGTTAGGCCAAAGAAACAGCACCAAACTTAAAATTGCATGCTTATTCTATCTTTTGTAAAAATAAGAGAAATTGGATGTTTGTATAATTATAAGCAAAATATATGGTGCTTTAATTTATTTAACACACGAGTATATCTTGTGAAAACTGTACCGCTAATATTTCCCGCACCCCCGATTAGTACGGTTGGCTATGTACAGTGTGAAAGAAGTTCAACATACGATACATATATATTAGTTAACCTAGCATTGAATGCTTAACCATGCATTCTATTAAGCAATGGCATTTAAAAATATCATCCCTTTTAACAAAAGCCCTCAATGTAATCAATTCCAACTGTATATTCCACCAAAAACTTCAAGTACCTTGTTAGTGATAGCGGGCAGCCACTCATAAATCATCAATCTTAACAATGCTGAAATAGGGATTTTTAAAGGTTAGAAACTACTTGGGAACAATAAAATGCATTTATTTTAATGGGAAAAGTCAGTGATAATTTTATTTAAAAATAAAATTGCTGCATATAATTATCCTTATTTCCAAACTTAATTTTAAAGTAGTTTTTTTCTAATTAGGTTTGCTTTATCACATTTAGGTGAAGGTACATTTAACCCTCATACGACTTCCTTAAAATCTTCCCCAAAACCTTCCCCTTTTTACAATATTTTAAACAGGCTATAAAATAACCAATCATGTCCAGTTATATAATTTGCACATTAAACTTAAATTAAAATCTTGGATTATTGCATCGTTAACTGTAACTTAAGCACTTAATGGTTGCTAAATAATTTAACATCAAAGTAAGATGAAGCAGAGATCGGGTGTATGAGTAACAGATAATACTGTGGGGACTCGGCAGAAGAAGCCTTCTGATGTAACAATCCAATATTTGATAAAGCATGCAGAGGCTGTCAATGACATTTGGCATTATGGAGTAGCCAATACCTCCACAAATCAAACGCGATGAAGTGCTGACACGCACAAAATAGAAACAAACTCGCAACTGTTTAAGCACACAAAACAGAAACACCTCGCTCAGGACAAACGAGTGGTAATGGATGCAATCAACCATAACCGTTGTAAAAATGAGGCAGGAGTGGAACTTTATCATTATCATTTCTATATCCGAATTTGAAACAGATGTAAAAAAAATATGATAAAGATAGCAATTACAGGATTTGGTATTGTGCACATTCATTTGCAATGCGTCCACTGTAAAATGTCTGTGCAACTTTTGTATACACTCTGTGAATTTCCATGCACGTTATGGACAGTACAGAACAGAATAATCATCATGAGAACACATTTTTATGATTAACCTCAATAGGTACATTTCTGCTCAATCATACACTTGCCCATTAGTGTAGCAAACACATATGTGGCTTTCATAAAAATGTTCAAAGCTAATATAAGCTCACTTTTAGATAACTTAAAGGGTAATTGCAGCTCACAGAAGTAACCGCATTTGCAGCATTGGCCAATGCAACCTCATTTTTATACTTTCATAGACAGAGTCTTAATACTACGACCAATAAATTGCAACCCAAGCCAAATCCCAATAACATTATTTTCCAACACTCAGTATGCAGGCGTAGCGAATGTGTTTGCGGTAGGCACTGCTTGGGAGAAGGGAGGCTTGCTGTAAGCCTCCTCGCCCTCCACCCCACTGCCGGTGGCGTAGGGCGGCGTCGGCACCGGCATGATGTTGTCGCCGTCAGCGATGCCGGCCCCACCGTCCCCGAACGGTGAAGAGAACGCCGCGTCGGCACCCAGACGGAACCTCCGCAATGCCAGGAAGGCGATCCCACTCTGTTGCGCGCCAGAGATCCACGTGGAAATGCCACACCCCCACCCCCCCACCCCAAGGCACGTTGCCACCAAAAGGTGCGAGCGTGCACGGTCACCATTTACAGGCGATTGGGAGAACATTTTGGGCACGCCAGGGGATGTCGAGGGCCGGGGTTAGGCAGGGTTAAAAAAACACACAGGATACAAGTTACCTAGATGATTGTGAAGCAAGGGAACGGTTAGTTGTCACAAATGCTGACACTAATACTCTTACGTAGTTCTGGTGACATGTTAAGCAAAGCTTTCAAAAACATTTAAATGCACAATAAGGAACTCCAAATCCTTGTCTCTAGTAAATATCAGTTTGCATTAATTTCTGGAAAAGTTAATTGTTTTATATCGTACCTCTGAGGTTATAAAAGAAAATCAAATATTATCGCATCTCATAGTAAAATAAGTATTTAATTAGTTGGTGTTTACAGGTATTTCAATTGGCTCTAATTACTACAATCTACGACTTAGGTGTAGTAGTCACGGATATTGTAGCAAAGCTTACATTACAAAACATTAATTGGATAATCATCACCAGCATCACAAGGCTATCTTAAAGGTGCTATTTTTTGCAGACAATTAGTTCGCATGAGTTTCACATTAGGGGCGATGTTGCCAGGTGGCTTTACCCAATTAAAAGCCAATTGCGAGTAATTTCAAATTCGACAAAAGTTTGGCCTGTGACACCGGCACATACTGGGTCTACTCTTTTTCGAATAACAATTATGGGATCATTAATATCCACTGAAAAGCAGACAGCCTGGTATTTTTTTTGGTTAATACACCTAGGGTACGAATCAGGGCAGCTGCTGAAGTCGAACTGCAAGCCCATATCTGTCAACCCATACGGTTTACCCGTATTCTTGTACAGGGAAATTGAGTTTTCACTTCCATTCGGTGTACGGCCGTTTCAATACGGGCAAAACAACGTTTTGTCTATTTGTTTGTTTCTCCCTTGTAATGGGACTTTGTAGGATGAACTTTGAGATTTAAAAGCGGCATGGGGTGACCAATAAGGTCTGAATTTGTCTGTAATAAGGTAGGCACTGACAAGGGGTTGACAGGTATGTGAGCCTCTGCAAGAAGTGGCAAGCGCGCTGCCGCCCGGCCACACAAAGGAACTCTGTTCCGTACGTTGTCTCTCGTAGTTAACAGATTGTGTACATTTCGTAAAATAGGAAAAAAAACATTAAGAAGTATTTTTAAAGTGTCCTAATGGCTCTAATGATCTTTATTTTCCTAAAAAAAACATGCATGGCAAGTTTAGTGTTGACCTAAAGTTAAACCATTTCAGAGAAAAATCAGTCTGACAGATTCAATTATGGTACTCGACTGAAAGGTGTTTCAGTCAGTGGTTCTCAACATGTTTCAAATCGAAATTAATTAATTACATTTCATGTTTATTTTCATGTACTGGAGAATATAAGTGAATCTCCCTCATAAGTCAATAAAAGATAACTTGCAAAACCTTTACTTGAAAAGGATCAAAATTAAAGTCTATCCAAAGGTATCAGGTTGAAAACCACATGTGTGAATTCTAAAACAGAGGATGAGCACGAAGAATAGCAAGCAGATTTAAGATATATAAGCATATAAATGGTTATAAATGCATTCTAAACAAGCCCTGACAGAAGCCTGGCCCGAGTCTCCTCAGAGTAACCAATGTGCTTAAACCTGCCCAGTGCAAACAATGATTGGTAAGCCTGGAGTGTGGTACAATAACACAGGACAAAAAAGTTGAAAATCATAAATGGAGCACAAAGAGTGGAACGCACGACAGAGTTAACATATGCAAAGTATATTGCGTAACATAATGATTAGTGCAGTTGAACACAATAAGGACTGCATCGCAAGATTCTGTCACGATTGTGTCTGGTAGCACGCAAGAGTAAATGGATGCACTAATGGAGTGTTTGTTAGGGTACTACTGTCGGTTATGGATTGGAAAAAGTGGTGCTGTTTGTTTTCTACTTTGCCATATTGTCAACACTGAAAATTATTCACGTCCTCAATACATTTTCAACCATTAGGCCATTTTACAAGGCTATTGTGCAAATGCAGGTGATTATTAAAACAGCATTCAAGGTAAGTGAAAATAAACCAGATTTTTTATAAAATAAAAAATAGTTTTATTTTACTTTCTTTTATGTTTGATTTACTATACAGTATTTATTACTTGCAAATGTACAATATTTTTTCTTGTTTATGTTTAACAATGCTTCCCTTTTTTGTTGAACCATAATAGATTTTTTTACACCAAGTTCTGAGATACAAACAAATCGACTTATGAACAGGTCTCAGGAACATAATCCATTCAAAAGTCGAGAACTGCCTGTATTGATGGAAACTGGATATTGAAGCAGCAATTGTAACCTCGGTTTCTCAGGTGTGACACTCCTTGTTTAAGCAACTTTATCATACAAGGTTAGAATTCGTTGTTGTAGACAAAATGGTCTTTCTCAGCCATTTGAAAGTAGCTGCTACAAAATCATGCGCTCTACTGCAAAGCCTTGGCTGTGGCATCCCTTAAGCAGGCTCGTGAGCTATTTTGAGATTCTCAAAGGGAACTGTGAAATACAACATAGGTATGACAGAAATCATTTTGACCTGCCTGATCTCTTCTCCAGTCGAAGCAGTTGGCCACACCATTAACAGCACATATGCACTTATTTTGGAATTACTATTGATTTGGTAGAGTGATACCACTCAATGGATTTGTTATATTTATGTTTTTAAACAGCTTTTTAGAATCGTGGTTTTCAAACTGATAACTTGAGAGATAAACCAGTCCTAATATATGGAGTGTTCAGGGCGCATTTATTCCTGGCAGTGAAATAACATTGCACGCACAAGTAAAATGAAACAATATGGGTAAATTATAACCAATTATTGTATGAAATGTAGCAGTTCTTACTATAAAATAAGCAAGCATTTACCATTCTTACTTCCTGCATTTCCAATTACACGTCGGGAAAGTTGTTGCTGGCATAGACGTAACCAATCATGTTACAATTAACAATGAACACCCATGTAGGCTGGTTCTCCTTCAAGGGATAGTTAGCAATGCCACATGTCATAGAAGTGTTGCTTTATTCGGTGCTTCGATTTTAAAATTACTCAAACATTCATTTGCATGTGTGTGCAGGTCTGCGCCAAAACAATCCGAGCATTTCACTGACGGTTAAATGCAAGGTCCTCACCCAAGAGATGATGGAGAAGAAGCAAAAGGCGATGGTAGCGCGAGCACTGTCTGCTCCAATTCCATTGGGAACCTTGCTGTCGGGTGTTTCTCGCCACTGGTTTGTCAGGAGGCAGAAGCCCACAAACCACATGAAGGCCCAGAAAGCTGAACACAACATACGGGAATGGAAACACGCGCGTACTTAAGGACATGACACCAACATAAGCGTCAGATGTTTTTCTTCTTCTAAATGCACCCTTATCCTTGTCTATTTTGACAATGGAAATGTTTACTTCTCTATTCTCCATGAGCAATGTTAAACTGTTGTAATACCGCACCCATGGTACTGAGCTGTGCATTAAAGCCGATATAAATATGAAAAGGAGGACTAATGTCTCTGTGTACACAGGAGATGTTTTCTATGCTCAAAAAGGCTTGGTGAACGAAAGCACAAATTAGGAGTGTTTCACCAACAGTGTTTTTGTATTGCTCATACTGGCCTTTAATTGTGTACACTTAGTGAAACTACTGACATGTGCACCACGACCCACATCCCTGAAAATTGCTTGGAAACCACTGTACAATTAATATTTCAAGAGTATTCAATAACACATTTCCATGGACAGTTTCAATAGCCTCTCCATCAAACAAAACATCCTTGTGCATTTGAGCGTTCGAACAATAATATACACTATGCGCGTTCAATCCAACGAATGCTTTATTCAATGGCGTCTTAATAACCTTCAGGCGACGGATAGCACTGGAAAAGCGTTAAATGGACATCTAGCTCAGAAGACACCGACCGGAGAAAGCCAGGTCGGCCAGTACTGCGCGCTTGCGATCCTTGACGCTGCTGATCTGCGGGAAGTAGGCATCGAGCGCCAGGAAAGCCACGCAGGCGAAGAACGCCACCACGCCGATCGTGATGCCGTAGCGGCACGCATCCCCATTGCCGTTGAAGATGCAGTGCAGCTTGGAGCCTTGGTTGTTTGTGTAGCCCTCGTTGACAATGCAGCCAAACACCACGATGGAGAAGAACTGCAGAACGAAATGAACGCGGAATTCAAAGTTAAAAAAAAAATGTCACAGGTGGTTTCACTCGGCTCAAACACGTGTGTGTGGGGGGGTGTGTGTCAGTGTTTGTAGCTGTGAGCCAGTATATGAAATTAAACATCGTCTGAAATGGGTGCGAGTCCTTCCATATGATAACCAGTGTTGACTTACCAAATAAAGGTACTTATTTTGTATTAACCCTGAAGGAATAAACAGCTATGTCGAGCCCAGATGGGGAAATGCACAACCTCACTGAGCCATGCTCTGCATCCCACCTCCAGTAGGTTTCACAATATAGTGATATTCTTAATTTTTTTTTTATATATAAAAGTGTGGTCATACAGTGTTTACTGAATATATAGTTACTAGATATATATATAGCATCTTGCCATTAATTTCTATTATACATAAATATATGAACACAAATACAGTTTGGTAAATAAGGATAGTCCACTGGTCATTATTACATTTATTTTTAAACACACGATTTGATTTACTGCAATATATTCCATTAAAGTCGTAATGAAATTACAATCACAATATCTTACCTATATAATGCTATCAACAGGACTGGCGAAAGTACTACCATTAGTTGATTATAAAAAAAAATGGTAATGTCGCCAACAAGTAGTGTAGAATACCAAATATACAGTACTATTTAAACAAGTGTGAATACATATTCTTGGTTCTTTCGGTAAAAACACGTATAACGAAAACAATAAAATAATAAAAATATAAAACGTATACAAACACAGAGACAATTTCAACCGAGAAGATGGATTCTGGCTTAGCAATCATTGGAAGGATTTGATAAAACATTTCGGGTCTTGATTGTTCACGCTTACGGTGGCTTTCAGACCGCATCCATTATTTTCGTCTCCCCCCTCCTCTTTTCCGAACATAGATGGACTCGTCCATCTGAACAAACTGTCAAATCGCGCTCCGTGGTGCTAACGTTAAAAATAACCGCCACTTTTTTCAATTTTTCTTGCTGTGGTTTTCACACCTGATGATGATTGCTTGTGTTGCAGTCGAAACGTGGTGAGAATTTTATTGTTTTATACATTTTTTATTTTATTGTTTCCCTTATACGTGACTTTACCGAAAGAACCAAGAATATGAATGTCTGCAGTCACGAAAGCTTTAAATCAAAAGTGTGAATACAGTATAAACATGAGCTCTTTCAACATGTAATTGTATTATCGTAACATACTGTGCCATTTTAAACATATTAAAGCTGTTGTTGGCTGAATGTCTTTCATTTAATTAAAAGTGGAATGACACCAGTAGAAAGTGTCAACGTCCCTTCATAAACTTGTACAGCTAGGATGCTATAAGGCAAGTCACTGCTCACGAGATCTGATATGTAATTTATGTCAATACTGCAAGAATTGCTGCACTTATTAACCATTATTTTCTAACTAAATCATACATTAACTTGGAGTGAGAACCATGGCTGTTTAGCATACAATCCTAATCTATATGGCCTTCTAAAGTATAGTGGGAAGCATGAAGTCTCAATTGTAAGCTTACATTGTCATATTTTGTGAATGTTTGTTCCACATTCAAATATCTTACGCATTTTACATTATTAACCAACGATTAATCTAAGGTACAGGCACTCCCTCCACCACTTTGGGGTATCACTTTATTGTGACAATGCCTTTAATTGTGTGTGCTTCGGGCCTTCTGTGTCAATGCTTCCTGAAATCCGAAATGTTTTACATCACAAGAGTAGTTTAATTTACTGCTAGAGTTGAACTTACAATAACAACACCATCTGCATACGAACGCAGACATTCTTTCCTATTCTACATGAAACTGAAAATATAAATCAAGAATTGTGACAAAAAAGATAAACAGATGAGCCAACGACCTTGGCTGAACCTACTCTTTACTGAGAACCATTCACAAAGGTCTCATTCTATAGCATTGCCATTTTGGTCTGCAAAAAAATCTTTAAGTATCTGTAAAATGTGTATTTAGCCCATGTTCTTTCGTCTCTATCTATATAACCACACATACTGTATAACACAATAATGACCACATACTACATTAATAGCAGCCCTATGTTTCAATAGGATTAGATTTTTTATTATCTCCAGGTTCTAAAGCAGTGTTAAGTCAAGGTAGGACATGCCAACATATATGAAGCAATCTAGATAAAACTCCATTATGCACACGCAAATAAGAACTGTTCATGATAAAATAATTTCACGTTCAATTTGCCTTCCAATGCACTTACATTCAGTGTTGCAATATGCCTCATATATGCCATGTCCTTATTAATAGTCCCACATATTAGACATTTGGATTCTAAATAAATTTTCTTGACATGCACGACCTCATGGAGCAGTAAAAATAAAATGTTACATATTGTCCTAGACACCAAATACATTGTACCAAAGGCTCAGAACGAACTTATTTCTTCTATAATAACAGGATTGGGAAAATATAACGTAACATTGAAATGCGAAAAGGATTTACATTGACGTGGCTGTGGTGTTATTTACATACATTTTCTGCAGTCTTATGTGGAAGTATTTTACACTGTTACTCTACAAGATATAAACACACCAATGACATACATTAATAGATCCAATACACACTCCTACGATGCAGGACACACTGGTATAGATATAATTATATGTTTATTGGTCAGGATTTTCCTCAATTTGTAAAATTATGTTTATTACCATCCATTTTAACGAGCCAAAGAAACCAGGTTCAGAGCAAAAAAATTGCGTTTTGGAAAAATAATTCCAGGAAGTGTTAACAGTTAGAATGTTAAATTTTGATTTAAAACTTTCGTAACTGCAGGGATTCATATTCTTGTTCTTTCGGTAAAGTCACGTAGAAGGGAAACAATAAAATAATAAAAATATAGTTAGAATGTTGTCCACAATTCTGGGATTAACATAATTTACGTGATCACATATTGTTAACATGACAATGTGTTTGTTTATACTTCCAATGTACAGTAACCCGTTTTATTGGAGTATGCAGCAGTTTTATCTTCTACTTTCACAAATTTAGAGGATGTGCAACAAATATACCCACTGTCATTACTGTATGTATTAATCTTATCGCAAACATACCAACACAACTGTGTTAATTTTAATGAGCAGTGTATAACAAACTAGATAACAGCACAATTACTGATTGAAACATGAAATAGTTTGTATTTAACTCGAGAACAGTATTTCAGTGGAATCAATGAAACACTAACAGTACATAGTATACCACTTACGTACATTTTCCCCAGGATATGCTTTGTAAATGCCACATCAGATTAAGCCATGCATGTTCTGGTAGCTGTTAATGTGTGTAATATTATTACAATAAATCGATACCATGCCTTTTATACTAGAGAACAGAAGGTATTTCACTGGCTAATCTGATTGTAAATTGATATATTCAATCACCCTCTCCTCCGAATTAAACAAAATCCTTCAATTTGCCCAGCCGATAACTTAAGCAATACAAGATATGATTTATATATAAAAAAATACACCGAGTAATAGACTTGACGCATGCACATGCATGTAATCACACCCTAAAGGGATTAGGTATACGAGTGTCTGCAAGTGAGCATCAATGCTTGCTGACAGCAAGTTATTGCTGCAGGTTCTTCGATTACACAATCCCAGAGGATGTCCGTGTTTCAGGTCAACCTGACATTACTTAGGACGACCAAATATCCTATGCCACTCCCAAATAAATGCAATATATGCATGTTACTGTAATTAGTTTGAAATAAGGGATGCATTTCATATTCAACAGTTCATTGGTATTAAGAAAAAGGCTTAATTTAGTTGTCTGCACAACTTAAAAGTCCAATCATCTGCAGCTACAGTAATGTCTGCAGATGCTGTTCATATGCACTTTACATACTATAGACTACCACTTAATAACATGTATTAAGACTCAGTGAGGCTCTCCTGGATTACAACAAGTACAATCATTTCTACAAGGGAAGTATACAGGGTGTTTTAAAAATATGTTTGTATATGTGGATAGCCTCATGCACGAATCTCTCATGGTAGCCAGATGGCTTGCAAATAACATCTGTCTTGGAGAAGTCAATGTCATGTGAGCCTACTAAATTATAACAGTGATCTGCCATGGCCGAGGTGTTGGTCCTACCGTGTTTCAGGTCTGCTTTGTGTTCACGAATACGGTCCGAAACATGTCGTTTGGTTTCTCCAATGTAACTACTACCACAGAGGCAACTTAGTTTGTAGACGCCAAGGTACTGTATGTCCGGAATCACATATTTTACAGACGGAACCAGATCACGGATTTTATGTAATGTGTTGAATCGGACCTGGATCTTGTGTTTATTCAAGATTTTGGAGATCTTTTTTGTGATCCCCGCAATGTAGGGTAAAGTGATGGTTTTGAAAGGCTCCTCAAGAGGTTCCTTCTTCATGTTTGGAGTGATAGCTTTACGGATTGTGTAGTCGGAATAACTATTAGCCTTAAGAGCTTGGTGTACGTGCTGGAGTTCACTGGCTATGTGTTCCTGGTCGGATATGCATTTCTATTTATTTATTTTATTGTTTCCCTTCTACGTGACTTTACCGAAAGAACCAAGAATATAATTGTAACATGTTCCCATCGTGAAATACTGCTTTTAAATTGTATGTCAAATTGTATAGGTATTTGTCAAATAATTACTGGGTGAAGGTCTCCTCAGGCCATGTCGGTTATGGGGGTTGTTTTTATCCTACTTCACCATGTTGGTGAGTACAGATTGGTGGATTGGTTCAGATATCACTCTCCACTGACGTTAGCTGTTGTCAGGAATGGAACTGTATCGCGTAGTGCCTGGACCTCTGCACCATCACTCCAAGTCCTTACGAACCCAAACACCAAAATATTAATCTCTTACTACAGTTACTACTGGTGGCGAGATGTTAATTGCCTCTCCTGGTCCGCAGGAGGTCGTGGGTTCAATCCTGACCCTGACGCCTGTACATTTA